AATCTCTTCACATGGTCAATATCCTCCTGTCAATAAACGTCCGCAACAACGGCGTTACTATAATCAAAGACCAAAGAGACACTTTGATCCATTGCCAATACCATACAATCACGTGCTACCACGTTTGATTAGTAGTGGACTGATAGTGCCAAAGGGTTTGGATCCTGTGATCCCACCATATCCACCAGGCTTTGACACCAATGCACGATGCGGCTACCATGCTGGCGCAATGGGGAATTCGACCGAAGATTGCAAACAGTTCAAGAATAAGGTTCAAGATCTGATCGAGTCCAAGCTAATCTCGTTCACACCTCAAGGACTTCATATCAACATCAAACCTTCATCTGGTCAAGTGAGTTCATCAGTTCATGGCATGGAAGAAGCTGCGGAGAGTAGATATGAAGAAGGTTATCATACTGGTCTCGATGAGCAAGAAGGGTAGCTCAACTGTGATGCAAAAGAGAAAAGTCCAGTTCCTCAATACTGGCAATTTCCATATTGTTTTTTCGCATTTGTAGTTTCTTTTCTGTTATAATGCTACTGGCTTTTAGACATTGTTTCTTATTGATGGTATTGTTAATGCGATGATTATGCATGTTTTTGATCAAATCCATTCGTATTCACTCACATTTTCTCACTTATTGCAAAAAAATCACAAACTTTTTCACTCCACTTCCTTTATCGCACTGCTGTTTAGCAAAGATTTGAGGGAGGATGACGAAAACAAAATACCCATAATTGTTGATAGTATGATTTTGGATAAAATCTCGTCGATGATGTACAGTCATTGTTTCAATCCCTCATACACTGGAGAGATAAGGAGTTAGTCCCTAGTCAACCACTTCGAGCCTAGAAGTAGGAGTTTCCTTTGGATTTCTAAACCCTTACACTTAACCTGGGGCAAGGGTAGTGTTCAGTTAATCCAACTCCGCACTCGAATCAACAAAGCAAAATCCAGATGATGGTTCATCAATAACCCTTGACATGGCAGTCACAATCCTTCAAAAAAATTCAAAAGCCTGCTAAGTCAAACACCTCAAAAGGAGACTTAGGCAAAAATCAAGGCAATCCCGATGGATCTGACAAGCAAAGTCAGTCCATGCAAAAGTTAGGGATCAAAAAACAAAACCCAAAAGAGGTACTTAAACCCTCGACAAAAACAAAATAAGATTCAGTGGCCACCGAAATCAAGGGGTTACTGACATCCATCAAAATAAGGTGGCTGCCATTTTAGGCAAACTTTGAACCATAAAGTTCACACCGTCACGCAGGTGCAAAATTAACTGAGCGTAGGTATGGAGATTATCATGAAGAAGGGGTGGGTACGAATAATACTTTGAGCCTAATATCCTTTGTTTTCATAACCATGAACCAGACCACGATACAACCCTTAAAAGACCTAATTGAGGCGGGGTTTTATTCTGAAAGCATAACTACAGCAAGGTTGCGTAACCTGACTCCTCACATGATTGCTAATCACCAGCATTGGTGTCATTATTCTTGCTATATCTTTCGCACCAGATAAATTAACACTGCGTTTGGGCTAATAGTCCACTCGTCACACACTGTCACATCATTCTAATAAATGATCCTTTCAAATTTTGCATAAATGTCACATTAAAATTACCATTTTTTTTAATGAACACTTTTAACTGCAAGTCAGTACTTGGCATTATGGAAATTCCAACAAAAGAGCAATCAAAGAGGAACTTGATCACTCATTGGTGTCGACCTGAATCAAGAATTTCTCATAACCCTGTAGACTGGGGCAAGTTCTTCCGAGTCTTAAACAGGGGCATATTACTGCAAAATCTAGACACTGGGGCAATCATCGCAGACCATGTCATGGTATAAATCTTTAAGAAAAATTATCAAATACCCAGCAGACTGAGGCAGACTAGTTGAACAGGGGCAGTTTCCCTCCTTATTTTCAAAGTTGGGCAAGCTAACCGTGCCAGACGCCAGTAATTGTTGAGTTCACGACACGCGTCAAAAGCCTTGGGGCAGAGCAAAAGCACGATCAACATGCATTGGTTAAGTCGCTACGCTCGCATATTCAATATGCTTTGGTTATGTCGTTGCGCTCAACATTCGCAAGCCATCAAGGCATATCAGCTAGAAGCTAGATTCTTACGAGAACGAGTGCACAATTTCTGCAAAGGATCTAACTTGGGGCATCCACAAGCATCCATATATGTCTTCTGATCATAGCATCATCAGATACCGTGTGTCGGGAAGTCAAATACTTTCACCAAATAAAGTCCAACCCCGCTTGGCATCTCCTAAAGTCCAATTTGTGTTGGCAACCAAATAAAAGTCTACCTTGCTGGCATCATAACCATTAAAAGTCCAACCCCGCATGGCATCTCCTAAAGTCCAATTTGTGTTGGCAACCCTTAAAAGTCCAACCCCGCTTGGCATCTCCTAAAGTCCAATTTGTATTGGCAACTACTAAAAGTCCAACCCGCTTGGCATCTCTTAAAGTCCAATCCTTTATTAGAAACTACCAAAGTCCACCCTTGTTGGCACCTTCATAAGACCAATCTCCTGCTTGCATTCACATATGCATCATACAATTGACATGTATCATACGCATACATAGCACGATCATTTCCTCTTTCAACCCCCGAGTTGATATGTCTTTATTTTCTCGACCCCCGAGTCGATATTTTCCTTTTCCTCCTTCAACCCCCGCGTTGATATGCCTTTATTACCTTCGACCCCCGAGTCGATATTGTTCTTTATGTTCTCAACCCCCGTGTTGATATTTTGTTATCCTCGACCCCCGAGTCGATATTTACCTTTCTTCAACCCCCGCGTTGATATTTACCTTTCTTCAACCCCCGAGTTGATATGTCTTTGTTTTCTCGACCCCCGAGTCGATATCTTTGTTATCTTTTTCTCTCGACCCCGAGTCGATATTTGCCTTTATTTCCTCGACCCCCGAGTCGATATTGCCTTTATTTTCTCTCGACCCCGAGTCGATATTTGCTATTCTTCTTCAATCCTCAAGCTGACTTGTTGTTCTGATTTATCCTCGACCCCCGAGTCGATATTTGCTATTCTTCTTCAATCCTCAAGCTGACTTGTTATTCTAATTTATCCTCGACCCCCGAGTCGATATTTGCTATTCTTCTTTAATCCTCAAGCTGACTTGTTATTCTAATTTATCCTCGACCCCGAGTCGATAGTATATTTGTTCTTCTCAACCCCCGAGTTGATGTGCCAATATACCCCGTAAATCTCTTCACCTTGTTTCACCTAATACCAAAGATAATCCCTTGTGGAAAACCAGAAATGAAGCCTTGCCATGATCCCGTTACCCGGTTGCATTCTCATGCGCATTGCATTTCAATCACTTGCATATACATCTTGCATTCCATAGTAGTTGCATTTTAATTGCATATTTGCGCATCATACAAAGCATTGCATTTTATCCCCAGCGACATAGCATAACAGGATCCAGGATCAGTTCACGAGTATCCTGACCGGTCCTCTATCAAAGTCGGCAATATTTCTCTAAACAGAGTTGATACCCCGCACGAGTTCAGGGAATTCTATCCCCAACAAGTCATTCTTCAACCATACAGTTGATAATGATGGTTCCCAGCAGTCGTTGCTCTTATCTCTCCCCAAGCAGAGGTTGTCTCAGAGAGTTTATGGAAGATCTCTCCCCTACAGAGATTGGACAACGTTGTTCCTTTAAATAGGAATTTTAGCTCAACTACTCCTCAGCAAAGTTTTCACTCGAGATACTGCTTTGGTATCATTGAAGAGCCTTAATGGATAAGGTACTGCTTCGACCACCCGAAGGATCTCAAGTTTTGTTCGAGATACTGCTTTGGTATCATCGAAGGACCTTAACGAATGAGGGGCCGCTTCGACCACCCAAGGAAGATCGCTTATACCACTCTGGTACCGCGAAGAACCTTATTGGATAAGGGACTGCTTCGACCACCCAGGGAATATCAGGTTATCTCGTTCACCTATTTTTGCATCCGGTCATCCCGTTCTGGTACATCCCACCTCTTTGCATTTTTACTTTCTTGTCGGACAAATTTTAGGGTCTTCTTGTATCTAATTGACTTCCACCCTAAGAATGAACGCCATGCAGTTGTTCATTCTCTCAGGTTCAAGGCAATTATATAGGGGCATCTGTCATACCCCAAATTTGTCCTACCTTTTTTAAAAATTCTCATTTGCCCGATTTTGTTTTTAATTTACCTCGCTTATACAGCGTAGCGTAATTTTCAGCAAAAACGAGCATTTTCACTTTTTAGCCCAATAAGAGCATGCCACGTGGCATTTGTTTTTGTATATATTTATCATTATTTTTATTTCATAATTTCTTTTTATTTTTATAATATGTAAATATAATATAGTTTATAATATTAATCAATTATTTAGATTAGTTTAGATTAAGTTTTTTTAATATAATTAGTAATATTTTTGTATATCTTGTTTATATTGGTCTATATTAATAAAATTAGTAATTAATATTCTTTTTAAAAAAATTTTAGTTTATTCTATTTATGATTATTAATGCTTCCTTAATATATACTATTTAGATTACACTACTCTTATTTTAGTTAGGTTGTTAATATTAATTAATAATTATAAGAAAATTAATAAAAATTAAAATCAATTTTAAGAGAAAGAAAGTGGAAATTGGGGAAGGCCCATTTGTATTTGGCCCGTTAGGGTTGAGTCACATGGGTTATATGTAGGACTTCTCATTCAGAAAAGAGGGGAATTGAATTACTGTTCCCCGAAACACAAAAAAGACAGCCGCCCCAAATTCGAAACCCTACGTCACTGTTCACAATCCCTAAAGAAAAGACCTAATCGGTCGCTCCCTTTCTAACCCTAAAATCACTATTCACGATCCCTTTTCCTTTAGAACCCAACCTCACTCAGTCAACTTCAAATCTCATCTTTCTTCTCCACGCTTACCGTTTTCGCTGCACCGTTCACCGGCAAGATTCCGAACAACAAAAGCCATGGACGAAGACTTTGATATTCCCCAAGCTGAAGAAATGAACGATGATTTCGATCTCGTCGAAGACAAAGTAGGTGAAGAGAGACAAATCGGCGATCGTGGCCTCAAGAAGAAGCTTCTCAAGGAAGGTGAAGGATGGGACACTCCCGAAGTCGGAGACGAAGTTCAAGTTCACTACACGGGAACTTTGGTTGATGGAACTAAGTTTGATTCAAGTCTTGATAGAGATTCTCCTTTCAGCTTCACGCTTGGACTAGGGAAAGTAATTCAAGGATGGGATGAAGGTATTAAAACCATGAAGAAAGGTGAAAAAGCACTCTTCACCATCCCACCTGAGCTAGCTTATGGTGAATCTGGTTCACCTCCAACAATTCCTCCTAATGCGACACTCCAATTTGAAATTGAGCTGTTGTCTTGGACGAGCGTGAAGGACATATGTAAAGATGGCGTTTTATTTAAGGGGATACTTAGTGAAGGGGAGAAATGGGAGAACCCCAAGGATCCTGATGAAGTATTGGTTAAGTATGAGGTTCGTCTGGAGGATGGAAAGGTTGTAGCAAAGTCAGATGGAGCGGAGTTCACTGTCAGTGAGGGTCATTATTGCCCTGCATTCTCAAAGGCCGTTAAAACCATGAAAAAGGGAGAGAAAGTGATTTTATTAGTAAAGCCTCAATATGGATTTTGCGAGAAGGGGAAACCTGCACACGGTGATGAAGGTGCAATTCCGCCTAATGCATCACTACAGATTACACTTGAGTTGGTGTCTTGGAAGACTGTTTCAGATGTGACTAGCGACAAGAAGGTTATAAAGAAGATCCTCAAGGAAGGGGAAGGATATTATCGTCCGATACAAGGACTAAGATGATACATAAAGGGAATGATACAAGGAGTAGGATTATATCCAAGGGTATTTCTGTTGGACATTCGAGGAATTGTTATAGAGGGCTTGTTCAGGTTCAGTCTAAGGCGAAGAATGCGAAAAACTCTTCGCAGTGTGATTCCATGCTTATTGGTGATACTGCAGCTGCCAATACATATCCTTATATCCAATGTCGATGTCGTGTTTTCAAGTTGTTGCAGCTAGCTGAAGCTTCGATTTGATCTCGCGAGTTGGTTCTGCTGTTGGTGTTTTGAATGGTGCAATAAAAACGAGAAATAAAGTTGTTCTGTGCTGAGCAGCGAATATGAAGGGGGAGGGGGGAAGTATGAGCCTTCTGCCGCTGCGAAGTCTCCAACAAACCATCCATAACAGCCTTCTGCATCGGGCTTTCGAGCTTCAACGGTGGCAAGTATTCTGCATCCCCCAGTTCTGTTGCAAACATCGTGCAGGCGGTCCCTTTCTTATTTTGACAAGTCGCCTATTTCGTAAATACCGCAACAATCTTTGGTTTAGTAATGTTTATGTGCATTGTGTAATTTACTGATTGGGGTGTGTGAGTTCTGTTTCATTTTGAGTACCTTTTATTGCTATTGTGGTAAGTGTTAGCACTAATTTTCTGTTGCGGTTTTGTATTTCATTCATGGTAGTTTCTTTTGGATCACATTTTGGTCAATATGTGGAACTGTCATGGTACTGCAAATTTTGTGCTTTGGCTCTGTTGTACTGGCTTTATTTTCAATACTATGGGTCATGTTTTTTTGATATACATTTCGACTTCTGCTACAGCTTGGTGAGGTTCTGAACCAATCTCAAGTTGTTGTCATCTGTTTTACTTAATGATGTTGTAATACTTTGTTATTTAATGGTAGGATTTGTCTGTGGATTTAGATTAGTGTATATGTTGTTGGTTTTTGGCTGTGACCTTGTTCAATTGAGTGCACTACTCGGTGAATGAGTAATCTTTGGATTAAGTACATGAAGTATGCTGGTTTTTATTTATAGATGATGTTGGTGAATTAATATAACAGTAACTTTTGTGCAAGATTTATATTTGTTTGTTTTGGAGGTAGTTTGCCCTGTATTTGCAGCAATACAACTCCATACGCATCAACGAGTCCGGCCAACGAATTCACGTCTGCTCAACAACAACTTTGACACAGCAACCATATCAGTGTTGATACATGTACCGCAGCAGCCTCATCTTCAACAATCTTGTGGCAGCTCTCACTCTGGTTATACGGCGTCGGTAAATCCTTGAATCCTTGCTCTTTGGTTCAATTGTATATCAGCACTCGATTGGGCTTGTTTGCTACTGGAGATTCGATGTATTTATCTTTGTTTTCAAGGCATTGTGTGGTTGTTTTTGTTCTAAAACTTTGTCGAATATCCGACGTGACGTCGTTAATATTCAAGCTGATTGTGAATTAATAATGTTAGTTCTGAGTTAGTAAACTGGCTGCTGTTTTTAATTAATAATATTAGTTCTAATTAAGTAAATTAGCTCTTGTTATGAATTAATAAATAGTATTAGTTTTTTAGTTAGTAAATTCTATACTGTTATAAATTAGTAATTTTGGGTCATGGTAAGTGATTTAAGTATAATAAACAATTTCAATAAGTTATTCAAACCTTTAGTTTTATTTCAAATTCAATTAAATATTTTTCAATGCGATTAATCAAAACATTTTCTTAATTAATAACGAAAGTGGTGGGTTCTTAGGGTCTAGCATCCTTTGAGTCTTTGAACAACCGCTCTCGAGGCGCACGCCCTCGAGTTGTGGTTGTTTCGTCTTTCGGTTTTCAAATCGTTTTTTTCTCAATTAAAACTTCTAAAAAGATATTTTTAAACATTCTATAAATACTTTTATAAAAATATATATTTCAAAAATAATACTAAATAGATTTTTTAAAATATTAAACTTTTTTTTAAAATATTAGATTTCTCAAAACAATTAAATATGAATAGCTTTTCTCAAAACCTTTTTTATAATTGATTATTAATTTTATATATGAAAATTAAAATTATTTTTCTTAATTAAATTAAACTATTTTCCTAAAAACAAATTTCAAAACAATTGAATTCTTGGATCTCGCCTTCCTTGAATTCCCGAGCAACCGCTCTCGAGGTGCACACCTTGAGTTGTGATCTTTCCGGTCTTATTCAATTTAATTGAAATTTCTAAAAAAGGATATTTTTAAACAATTTTTATTAATTAGATATTTTGTAATAAATTTCAAATACTTATTCTTTTAAATAAAAATAAATTTCAAAATTATTATCAAATAGTTTTTTTAATATTAAACATTTAGGAAAATATACTTCATTAATTAAGTTAAAATCTTTTTTCTAAGATATTAACTTTTTCAAAACAATTAATTATAATAATATTTTAAGTATAAAAAAAAAATATATACTTTATTAATAAAGCTAAAATATTTTTCAAAGATATTAAACTTTTCTCCACACAATTAGTTATTACTAGCTTTTCCCAAAAATCTTTTTATAAACAATTAATTAATTAATTTTTCTTTTTTAAGACTATTTTTCTTAATTAAATTAAAATATTTTTCAAAATCAAATTTCAAAACAATTAAATTCTGGGATCTCGCCTTCCTTGAATTTTCTAAGCGACTGCTCTCGAGGTGCACACCTCGAGTTGTGACCCTTTCGATCTTATTTTTTAGAATACCTAGCGCGCCTAGTCCGAGTACGCTAAACTATTTAATTATTTTCTAATTAAATCACGAAAGAATCGAACTCTTGGAGTCGTGCATTCCTTGAATTCGAGAATGATTACTATTGAGGCGTACGCCTTGTATAGTGCGTCATTCAAACTTTCGTTCCTAAACTACCTTATCTAATTATTTGGGTAAATATTCACTATCCAACAAACATATTTCATAATTAATGGGATGAAAAAGATGTCGTTAGGATCTAGCATTCCAACGATATCCCGACTAATTGGTTACGAGGCCGACGTCTCGTTTATCGAATAGTCGTCATTCCTCCTAAATTTCCAACTCGTCTAACCTCGTTCCTCGCCTTCGTGTGGTCGAGTCTAAACCCTAGTACGACTCTAAATTGTACGTCAAATCCAAACTATCTTCTTGATTAAACTACGAAAGAACTGAGTTCTTGGAGTCTCGCACTCCTTGAATTCTTGAGTAACCACTCTTGGGGCGTACGCTTTAGGTTGTGGGCTATTCTACCTTTCGTCTATAAAACACATGCCCTAACTACTTTGACAAATACCACCATTATCCATTCAAATACACTTTCCTAATTAATTGAATGAAAAAGGTATCATTGGGATCTAGCTTTCCAATGATATCCCGATTAATCGATTGCGAGACTGACGTCTCGTTTATCGAGTAGTCGTCATTCTCCCTTAAAATATCCAACTCCCTTCTCTCGCCCTCGTGCGATTGGAACTTTCTCAAACACATTTCGTAGAATCTTTCGAATGAAAAAGGTGTCATTGGAATCCAGCATTCCAATAATACCCCGATTAATCGATTGCGAGACCGACATGTCGTTTATCAAATAGTCGTCATTCTCCATCAAAATTACCTAACCAAAATCCTCTTTCTTGCCCCCGTGCGATCGAAACCTTAAACCTATTTAAATATATCCTCTAACCAAAACATCCAATGCGATAAACCTAATCCCTCGCCCTTGCGCGATCCCTACAATTCAAACAATCCTTTACCAGAGAACATTGTTTAATCCTTTCTTCCGCGCATAACAAACTCGAGCTTCAGCCTCCCCTAGCGAGCAGACAAGCCAACGTTTAGCAGTTAGAATGCGACCTAAACACTCGTTCATTTTCAAACCCTTTTACCGTAGTAAGCCGAACTACGGCTGCTCTGATTCTTCATTCTCTTTCGAATGTAAGATACGTAGGCACAAGATTGCGATGATCTTGGCGAGCACAATCCCCTCTTTTCCATGTAGTCCCACGAACTACGAATGCTCTGATTTTCCACTTCTTACAAGTGAAGATACGTAGGCACAAGGGCCCCAATCCTTGGCGAGAACCCTATCTTAAAACCACCATTCCCCCTGTAGGAGAAACCTTAGAAGAAAACAAACAAGCATAGTTAACTTTACTCTCGAATCGATCAAGAGGTTCCCGTTGAGTACAACGGACGTAGAGGGTGCTAATACCTTCCCTCTGCGTAACCGACTCCCGAACCTAGAATATTGGTTGCGATGACCATGTTCTTATCTCCTTAAAGGTTTTATCGATATTTTACTATTCCATCCTTGGAATGAATAAAGTTTGGTGGCGACTCTGTTTCAAACAGTATTTTTCCGCGGCCATCGCAAGGATCATATTTTTCGAGGTACGACAACTACCAACCAAAAGTTGGGATAACATCCATGAAACAACGAATTACCAACCAAAAGTTGGAATACAACACCCGAGATGGGAATGAAGTAGAATGAACCGACTCACAACCTGAAAAGGCAACTTTGGCGGGGAAAGAAAGGTTTAAACAAACGACATTGACGAGGGAATCAAGTGAAATGGACACAACTGTCAATGATTTCCGCTGAGGATAAAACAAAATCTCCTTAACCATGCCATTATCTGTCAGAGAGACAACTAGCAACAAAGATATCAAACCTGCCTTATGCTTCAGATACATATGTTTGAATATGGCATAACGCTCCATATCAAATGGAAATTCTACGCATTTTGGAGGATGCTATGCAAAATGCAAATGCAAAAGAACACCACCCAGAGAGGTGCCGAGGAGATCCATAAACCAAGTATACTAAGGAATACGCCCTGGACGACCTTCCTGAATAAAAATCTTATGTGGAAAATTCCGCTCTGCTGGGGAAAAACACCAAAATCTCCACTTAGTGGGGAAATAATGAAATATCACCTATTGAGAAATCCTCCCTGATTGGGATAACGAGGAGCATCTATTGGGAATGCCACCCTTCTGAGGATAAATGAAACCTGTTGAAAATT